TTATGAAAGTAAGTCTGTCATCTCCTCTTAATCTAGGCATCTTCCATCAATACTCTACCATCTTCGTCCTTGATGCATCTCACTTGTCCAAATCCCGAGCCTTCCTCTCTCTCAACTTGGCCAGCCGGAATAACTTCTTCTCCCCACCTTTTTTTCCCAATTCCTCGTACATACGACCATAAGCCGTAGTCTTAGCCTCTGTGACCGCCAACTTAGCCTCCTTCTTAGCTGCCCTATACCTCTCCATGCACACTCGCCTCTCCTCCTCACCTATGCTCTCCACTAACTTCAGGTACATCGCCTTCTTTGCTTCCACTTTACCTTGGACCACTTCATTCCACCACCAGTCTCCTTTGTGCCCACCAGATACGCCCATCGAGACCCCTAACACCTCTCTCGCAGCCTCCCTAATATAGTCTGTTGTCGCTGACCACATTGTGCTCGCGTCACCACTACTCCTCCAAGCTCCCATAGCCGACAACCGCCCCTCCAACGCTTGGGCTTTATCCTTAGTTAAAGCTCCCCACCTGATTCTCGGTCTTCCTCGAGTAGACCTTTTCCTCCTCTTTAACATATTGCACCGAATAGAAGGCTACAAATGATCATTAACAAAATTAGCATAGGTATTATCCCTAAGTGATTTCTATCTGCGCAGCATTGACAAATATTGTATACCATGCCGTGTGATTTATTTTGTGAGTCTTAAAAGTATTTGGCCCCTCTTTTAAAGATTTTATTATTTGCGGTCCGTCATACCTAATGTGTTAGTACAAAAGTATCTCTTGAATTGAAGGAAGAAGACTGGGGAATGGCCAAGTTTTAATAAATAAAAATGTTGAACTTATTAACAAAAGAAGTTATACTAAATAAGATACACCTCTTTTTTCTAAATTATACTAAATTAGAATACCTAATGTGTTATATCCAACTATCTCGTGAATTGAAGGAAGAAGACAGGGAAGGGCCAAGTTTAATAAATAATAATGTTGAACTTATTAACAAAAGAAATTATTCTAAATTAGAAAATTTGAACTTTCATTTCTCTTTTGACGGATTCAAAAGTGAATTAAATAAACATCTTTTTCTCTTCACTTCTTTATTTTCTTTAACAAAGGATACAGTTCAAGTTTTTCAAAATTAACGAGGAAATATCATAGTTTTAGTGTATGCTAGAAGGATGAATATCTTACTCTTGAAGTGACGAACTGAATTTTAGTGGAAATTCTAGTTTATTACTCTCAATTACGTGTTAAAAGAGTCTAGAACCAAGGATGTTTTTGAGAATGTTACACCAACTTATGTACTTGTATTGTACTCTTCATATTTTCTAATGATGCATTCGCAATCACAATTTCTAGAGTAACTAGAATAAAAAGAACTTCTCACAGCATTAGTTACATCAATTAGTCATAACACTCATATCAACATTTTTTTCACCTATAATGGCTATATGGGAATGATTCAACAAAGAACTGGAGTATAATATCCTAGCTTCTTGAATATATGTCCTATATATCGGTACTTTATATAGGGCGTTGCGAAGAATATTTCACTCTCTTGAAGAAGATTTCTAATTGAGCATTTAAGGAAATTTGAAACCGGTAAAGTTGATGTCATGTGATTAGGAGGTTATGAGTTTCAGACGTTGAAACATTCTCTTGCAAAAATATAAAGTAAGACTGCATACAATAGATCATTGTGGTCCGACCCTTTTCCCGGACTCCAGATAATGCGCAGCTGACAAAACTGTGGCAGATTCAGCAGTTAAGCTCATTTTGCTTCATTCCTTGCATTCTGAACTTAGCACTGTTTCGTGTCAATAAAATCCCAAGGTTGAAATGGAATTAGAACCCGCTTTAATTTCAACTTTATGTTTCGTTCCATTGTACTTGATGGACCAAGAGGAGAATCCAATTTTTAGGTTTTTAGCTTGAACCAATTATAATCTTAAAGTTATAGTTCAATTCTATTATTTATTGTAATTCTAATAAATTTTTACACATAAATTTATATTCTGTGTCGAAAGTTATGAGTTCAATTGTATTTATATGTTAGATGGATAATTAAGATTGAAGCAAAACATGTGGTCCAATCCACAATTTTACCTTTCAACACCGGTTTTCCAACAAACTTGGTGCTACCTACATTCGTGGTGTATCAAATTTTTTATAACAATGGTATTGGCACCAATTTGTATACACTTAAACTATTTTACCAGATATTTGATATTGGTTTAATTTCGCTGATGGTCATTGAACTATCTTCCAATTTCACTAAAGTCATTCAACTATTTTTTGCCACTTAAAAGTAACTAAACTTTATCATTGTAACTTAAAAATTATTTTGCCTCAAACCCGTACCATAAATATGACATGGCATAAAATTTAATAAGAAAAATCCAATAAATGCCACATAAGCTTAAATGGGTCATATCCACTTTAAATCCATGTCCCCCCTAATATGATTTGATCCAAAACTAAAATGGGTTTAATAAAAAAAAATATTAAATTTCACATTAGTTTAAAATGATTATCCTATACTACAAAGTTTTTGCCATTTTTGTTACATAATGCACATTCATAATTATTCTATACTAAAATAATCTATGCTAGAAAATTCTTATTTTGAAATTAACTCGGATAGGGCATACAAACAAAATAAAAATTTTCTAGCATAAATTATTTTAGCGTGGAATAATTATGAATGTGCACTATGTAACAAAAAAGGCAAAAACTTTGTAGTATAGGATAATCATTTTAAACTAATATGGAATTTAATATTTTTTTTATTAAATCCATTTGAGTTTTGGATCTAAAGTGGATATGATCCACTTAAGCTTATGTGACATTTATTTTTGAATTTTTCTTATTAAATTTTATGCCATATCATATTTATGATAGATGTTTGATATAAAATAATTTTTAATTGACAATGATAAGGTTTAGTTACACAAAAAATAGTTAAATGACTTTAGTGAAATTGGAACATCAATGACTATCGGTGAAATTAACCCATTTGCTATTTCTGGCCAGCACATATAGTGACTCTCCCCACAAGCTTAATGAAAAGAAACTAATCACACTTCAAATCTTCAATTACTTAGCTGAAGAAAAGAAAGTCCAATTTTCAAAAGAGCAAACCAGTTATTTTCTTAAGTAGATTGCATATAGCTTTATATAATTTAACCACGTGGGACGAGAAACAAAATACAATGAACTGACCGGGGAACCGCCGGGTGGCCGGTTCAGGCGTCACCTAACGAAGACCTCCAAAGCCGACTTATTTTCCTGGTCAATAACATCAAGAAAAATCGGGTCGACAGTCACGTGACTATCCACGTGCACACGGAACTTATGGTCCCACCACATCACCTTAGCAAATCCTTCTATATCCACCGTAGCATCCAGCACCATCTCCCGCTTCGCCACGTCGGACACGAATTCCTTGCCGTGATGGGCCAGTTGAACGCCGCTCAGCCGCGCGGGTAGCCGGAGGACCTGGCAGGAACGCGGCGGCTGCGAGCCGGCTTTGACCCGAGCAGAACCGAGGTGGTCGCCGGAATAGAAAATCGACATTTCTGTAGACGAGTAAGTAATTGAAGTGACGTTAGGGTTTGTGACGTGGACGGTGAGGATGAGTTCAGCGTCTAGTACTGGGAAATTGAGCTTGAAGGAAGTGAGGTCAATGGAGATGAGGTGGAAATCTGGGTCCCGTGGCTTCGACGACAGTGCCGCCACTGCCACGCCGGCAGCAGCGGCGCCGACGAGGGCGGAAGTCCAACTCCATCCGCCTCTTCTTCTACTTCCTTCTTTGCTCATCGGTCTGAATGATTTTGAATTTGATTGGGACAGAAGAGAAAAGCAGTTGAAAAGGAAATGGACTGGGGATTATGAAATTACGTTTATGTCCCTGGTTGTGGTCCAATGGGGCAGAAAAGTTAGGAAGCCTGTCTGAATTTGGTAAATTCGATTCTTCCCATGCTTTCTGCCTGTTTTAAATGATTGTAATTTGTAACATTGTGTAGATAGTTTGTTTAATTTCATTAACACAGTATAGGTTGATAAACACTGAATTACCGTATCGAAATCGAAAAATTTGGTAATTAATTTAAAATTTAAAATAAAATTGATATTAGGTATAATATTTGATATTTTAAAATGAAATATTGAAATATCGATACCGTATCAAAATATATATTATATTATACAATACACATTTTATTAATTATAACTTAAATATAAGAAATCTAAAATTTTACTTTCCTTTATTCTCTAAGTTCATCAATTAACTCTAAGCAAGTAACAATATATTTCTCTAAATTTTCTCTCTCTAGGTTGGTATTTATTGGTTTTGGACAAAATTTTTGTCAACAAATATTTTTAGTTTTGTACTTTTGAGTACTTTAATTAAGAATATTACCGTCTATGACTCTATACACTAGTTAGTATTCAAAACCGAAACCGAAAAGAGAAAAACTGAACCATACCGAATTTCATTAGGTACGGTATTGATATAGCATTTTACGAAACCGAATACCGAACCGAAATATCTAAATACCGTACAGTACCGACCGATGAACATCTTTACCTCATAGGATATAAATAGCTACTTATACACCCTTATATTTTCCTGTAATTGTATTACTTTGCCAATAATTGTCCATTATGTGTCAACTTGAATGCCCGCTACCAGGGGTGGATACAGTTTGGGCAAATCCGAAATCTGAATTATATGAATTTTTGGTTTGGATTTTCGCATTATGGATTGAATTTCAAATTTAAATTTTAAATTTTTGGATATTGGATTAGGTACTTCAGATTTTTGGATATTCGAAAATTTATTTTTTTTATATTTTATATTTAGTCCATTATTCATATGTCAATAGTAACAAGTCCACTATCCTATCCATTAGACATAATCTCATATATTCAATACTAATTGCTAATTACTATCATAATACTTTTTATTTGGATATGATTTTACTATTGTTACTTCTTATCGACCTTACCAATACCTTTGTTGTATTTCTTGATTATGATTTCATTACTTGAATACTTTATTTAGATGATTGCGGTGAAAATGAGAAACTTTTAGGCAATTTAACATGAATACTTCATTTGGATGTTCATTATTGTAGAAAGAAGAAATATCTCAACTTATAAGCTTAAAATCGAAAATTCAAAATATCCAAACCGATTGATATGAATCTAAACTTAAAAAATCCGATCCAATCCGAGTTTATTTGGATTGTCATTTCTTAAATCCGAAAATCGAAAATCCAAACCAAAATTTTCATATCTAATTCGAATTGTCCGAACACCCACCCCTACCTACTATTGCTAAATTAAGCGATGTGCTATTGTTTTTTTGACTATTGGACGGTAACTTAAGTTTTAGAATTGTTACTTCAATAAAATTGATTTATTGTAGCCAATATGTCAAGTTCATTTTTCACATAATCCAGATAGAAAAGGTACTTAATTTTCAAATCCCTTCCGTAATTCCATTGCTTCTCAATATTTTGTCTTTTGCTTGTAAAAGAAGTAGTAGTCGTATCACACTAGAACTAGTAGTCGTACTTCGTGCGATTAATTTTAAAATATATTAATTAAATTAAATTGTGATCAGACTTGTTTGAACATATTAGGTCGTATTGCTTTAATAAATTTTAATTGTCATCTTATTTGTCAATACGATATACCCAATAATAAAATCTCTATTAAATTAAAGGGACTTATATAGTCATCGAGTAACTTTCTTTTCTATATTTTTTTTTATTTTATTATCAAATGTCTAGTATTATTATATTATTAATAGAAATTTTTATTAGCATATTACTTTATTTAATGGATCAAAAAGATGACAGTATTACAGAGTCTATAGTCAATTTAAGGAAAAGACGAGAGGTGACAGGCCTTGAGACAACAAAAGAGTATAGGCCATAAAGTCATATCCTCATTTCAAGAAATAAGTTCCTAACTCCAATGCGACTACCGGAAGGAAAAGTTAGACTCCAGAACAATAGAAATCAGTATGGGTTGGTGAACAAGATAAACTAAACATAAATTAGGGACTGAGTGATTGGATAATAGTCAGCATCATGAGAATTTCATATTTCATTCCGGCGATAATAGAGTGGACAATAGAAGAAGATTCATGAGAAATTCAGAGAATGGTCATTCAGGAAGACGCTTCCCTAAAGCAAGCAAGGTGAGTAAATTTAAGCTTAAGGGACTGTATGTATCAGTTACACTAAGTGTCACCCTCGCGAGTGAGGAATTTCGTAATCTTTAGTACTAAAGGATTACCACGAGGCGAGTAAGGATCATCGATGATGTGAAAAGATGCCAAAGATGAGAGGGTAAAACTTCTATACGTAGATCATCATAGCACTAAATCTTAGTGGGTAATATAATAGAAGATATATATTTTATTACTCTCAATATTTTGTCTTTTGCTTGTAAAATAATACTCTATATACCTTTTATGCTACTAGTCTTAGGGTACGCGCTTTGCGTGTGTACCCTATTTCAGTGAATATATAATTTTAAAAAATAATGTGACTATTATTAAATAAAATATTTGAGTTATTGAACAAAAATTAAAAAATATTAGCTCTTAATAATGAATGTTGATCCAATTTAGCTAGTTCACTAAATAAAAAAATCTTGTCCAACAAAAGTCTGTTATGCCATATTCTGATTTATGAGAACTTTGGGAATATATTATGAAAATTATTATTATTTTGTTACCTAATACTGAAAATAAGTAACAAATTAATACTATAATATAACTAATTTTGCTCAACTTTTTAATTTCTGCCATCACTGGTGCTCTTCTTATGAAAATAAATTTGTGTAACTTAAGAGTTTGGTCAACTTGAAAAATAACTTTACTAACATGAGATTTTGAAAAAGAATTAAATTGGATTCTTTTGTTAATTAATTAATTCAAAGAGTTGATTATTTATTCTTAACATTAAAAGAATAATTTGTTTATTTATTGCATTGGGAATTTTTAATTTTATAATAATAGAAAAAATATAGATAATTTTTTTATCTTCTAATGTAATATTTAAAAAATACATTTAATAATTAAAATATTTTTGAAGTATAAACATCTCACTATCCCTTAAAATTCTAAGTTATTACCTATAAAAAGAATGAATGCCTAAACATATTTCGAAGGGAATTGCCGTAAGAAAATAGAAGGAAAAAAAAACATATTCCTAATTCTCCTAGACTATATTTATTTTGAAATTCTAAATATTAAACTTTCTACTAATTTTAAAAAGAAAGATTTCTTAACCAAAATTTTAGTTATGAATCTTATATATTTCAAATAAGGAAAGATTTAATAAATAATATTTTATTTTATTTGAAAGTTCTACGTATTAGAAAAATATTTAAATTACTATTTTGTCCAGCGTGAACTCCATTTTAAAAGGGTAAAAAAAAGCGAACGACATTTTGCTACGGGCATTCGTGCTTTTAATATAATATAGATTTGCACAATATGCCCCTTTACAATTTTAAAATTAAAAAATGACCTTTTTAGATTTTTTATGAGAAAATGAGAGATCTCTAACGTGTAAAAGTAAATCTTTCATGTGTATAGTCATAAAACTAAAAACAAGTTTGTGTAACTTAAGCCAACATTTTGAGAATTATTTTGAATCTTGTGGCCTTGAGCTACATATAACATATTAAAATATTCTTAAAATGTGGTCATGAATATGTCATGTTGTTTCTTATAAGGAAATATAAGTAATGGTATAATGAACATATTGAAATTTAAAACTTATTAAATATTAAAAAATATTATTTTTAAACATACTGAAAACAAAAATACCTAAGACATAAATAAAACGTGGGAGCACTTAATATGGAAGAAATGAATTTATGAAATATAGTGGGGAAACAAGGTGGGACAGATTAGTTATGAGGCACATAAGGCATATTGGACGGCAGAACAAAGGGGGGTAAGGTTTATAGTGAAGGTAGCCTTTTCCTGGCCTATCCTTTCCGTGCCCACTTCTCTCCTTTAATCATTATTCCATCCTTTCCGCAGTCACGGACTATTTTACCCTTTCATTTTGGTCTAAAATAGTGTTCATTTACATAATCTAGAAGGAATTAATTTTATTTTTTTAAATTTTACTATTATTTATACTCTCTTCGTTTATTTTTACTTGTCCAGTATTCTAAATAGATTTTCACTTTTACTTGTCACTTTTAGCATATCAAGAGAAGATAATTTCTTTTTTCCTGTTATACCCACAACATTAATTAGTTATTTCAAATCATTTTCTAAAATCCATTAAAAATATGCATTATGGGTATGATGGTAAATTATGCACTTCATTTATTATTTTTTAAGGAGTGTGCAAAGTCCATAATGGACAAGTAAAAGTGAACGAAGGGAGTATATTTTAATGTGTCAAGGTGACAATTAATTAAAGTTAATTTAATGAATACATCTTTTTTTCTCTAGAATTTCGTATTTCATTAACGAATATGCCAAAACTAAAATAATCACGGACACGATGAAGTATCATCCTTCTGCATCAAGACTCTAAAATGGCACATGATATCAAACTCCTCTTTTTGAATAACTTTATATAAGTCACAAGGTATCAAACTCTTATTGCAACGGGAAAGTAAAAGTTTCTATATTTCCGTATTCAAGATGGATATTGTGACTAATTTAATTCCAAAAGTTAGCTCAGGTGAATACTGTTCAAAATTTTATATATAAATAGACATATTTCATTTCCTCGATTGGACTAATGTTGTTTGTATATTATGTCTTTATACCTTTTTTGAAATTAAGAAAATGATCTTTTTAAATCTTTTACGTATAAAAGTAAATCTCTCAATGTTTAAAAAAAAGGTAAGAACATAAAACTAAAAACGAGTTTGTAAAAAGTTACAAAATCAATTGACCCGGAACACTCTAACACCCTTCTCTTGCACATCTAATTAGGTTAGAAATTTAGACCATAAATAACATAACATTGGATAAGGATGAGTTTGGCTTCGATATCACATAAAAATTGAGGTTTTAAGCCTAACTCAACCATAGAAACGAGCTCGTGAGTTGATGAGCTGATGAATATTGCTCAATACCGAAAACATCTTATTCTCTCCAATATGGGACATAAATTAACAGTTATAAGACATTTTGAAGCAGAAGCGGATTAAGGATTTGAACTTTATGAGTTCAGATTCGTAATTCTATCACACCCCATCTAATTTAAAGGATTCAAAATTTATGATTTGTACAAATTTAATAATTTTTTGGGCAAAATTATAGGGTATGAGCAAAAGTTATGAGTTCAACAAAATTTATTTTCCTCTTCAAAGTACAGATAATCCAACCAAAACTAATGGTATCCCATTGCACAATAAAAAGTAGTAATATTAATACATGTCCTTTTCAGCTTCATCACTCATATTAACATGTTTTAATTACAATTTACAAACAGTTTAAAGATACAACGTGTATAATTACAGCATCATAATAAGCATACTGCAGACGATATAAAGCAAGGAAGAAAAAGAAATGCAGTTGAGGGTAGTCCCAGCATTATGCTTGTGACCTCTGTTGATATTGTGATGGTTCATAGCTCCAGCTACGTACACTGGGATCACACCTGCTGTAGCAGTTGAAGGTGACTTTCTTGAACCACCGCCGCGCGATGCTCTTCCTCCCGAGCCGCCACTGTGACCACCACCGTGCCCACCGGCTGCACCACCTCCACGTTTATCGACCGTCACAACTTCGTCTACACGGATTGACAATTTTTCTTCTGTTGAAGGCACATAAGTTCTCAAAGAATTTTGTGGCCTAAAGCCAAAATAACTTCATATTATAATGAAACACAAAAGAAACCTACTTAATTTTGGTCTAGTGGTAAGAATGCAACACGTGATGAGGTTAGGCCCAAATCACGATTTCGAACTCTCCCATGGACAATAGCATGATATTTAAGAAAGGGGCAGAGAGGCGGGCTCATTATCCATCGATTCGAATCTTGTGCCCCTGCCCTTGAGAATTTCTTAGCTAAAAAAATGAGACATCAAAGAACTTGCTCTCTGATTTATGGATCAATTAAATATGACAAAAAGAAATAGTAACTAATTCAGAGAATCCGAGTTGAAATAAAAAAGTGAAATCGTCAAAAACATAAAGAACAAAAATGTGTACATAAAGAAAAAAATTAGAATTGATGAGAAGGTAAATATATCATTTAATTTAATAAGAGAGAAAATTTGTGATTATTAACTCGCTCACTCATACAACCTCAATCAAATTTAAAAATATAAAAATTGAAATCTTTTTTTAATAATATTTGTATAAATTATATGTTATATATAATACTAATATACTAGTAGTATTTTATAATTTTGGGGCCCTTAATATTTGGGGGCCTAAGGCAAGGGCTTTATCTGCCTTACCTTAGAGCCGCCCCTGGTTTAAGCTCCCGTTTGGTCATATATTTTGGCTTCATTTTTTCAAAAAAATAATAATTTGAAAACGATGTTTGTTTATGAAATATGATCATTTTGGGAAAAAAGATTTCAAAAATTTCCAAGTTCCTAAAAACTTGTTTTAGGGCAGTTTCTGGGTGATAAATTTTTCTGTCACACACAAAACTTCAACTTTTCTTCAAATAAAATGTATGTCCAAAAACAACTTCAACTTTTAAAAATTATTTTTCAACACAACTACAAAAACTCTTTTTTCAAGTTTCAATTAAATCTATGTCCAAACGCAAGCTAAATTACATCTATTAGATAAAATCAAAATTAAAAACCATGAAGTCTAAAACATATTTCATCTTAGATTGAATATGTCTCGTCCATTCAAATTAGCAGAGTATCAAAGTTAGTAGATTTATTTTGGTGGTTAATTGGGCAATTTCAGTTGGCATAATTAATTGATCTAGAAAAATAAATGGCTGTTAAGTTAAGCTAATAAAGTATGAAAATCAGTATATATTCTAGTGGTTGGTAATTTCATTAATTAGCATATATATCAATCTAATAGACAAGAGTTTGGAATTCCCTTTATTTTGTTCTATTGAGAGAGCTATCATTGAAGTATATACTTTATGCACAAAGTAGCTATATACATATATANGTGTTTTCTTCCACCTAGCTCGAAAACCATGTACGTATATAGCAGAATTTTGAAACTAATTACCCATAAAACGTTGTAATATGTTGATTTTTTTAATATATAAAATATCCTGTTTTGTCAACAACAACAAAAAAAAAGTTACCCATTGAACGTTATGTTTTTCCTCCATTTTGTTCTCACATGAATTTCCTAATCCATTTAGCATCAAATTTTCTTAAACTTTTTAGATGATCAAACTGAAGCAGTAAAATTTATGAAAACAGTGTGATTCTTTTCGAACATGCAGTAACAACAACAACAATAATAATATACTCATTATTTTTTCACAATATGGGTTTTGAGGAGGGTAATGTATATGCAGACTCAGGAACGGAGCCACATTGTTGACTATGGATTCAGCCGAACTCAATAGTTTTGGTTCAAATCATGTATTTGTCTTAAAAATATTTCATTAAATATGTACAAATTATTAATTAAAACCTAGTAACTTAAAAAGATTAGTATCCCGAACTCATAAATTTAAAATTCTGGTTCGGCCTCGCAGAACTTATCACTATCTTGTAGAGGTAAAAATATTGTTTCCGCGGCTAAAGAAAAACAATTCTGGAGGTTTGAAAATGAACAACGATAGTGAAACCACCTTCAGATTAGGTACTTCTATAATTCGATCACCTAATTACTAAAATGGACAGATATGAATCTAAAACCATCGTAGTCTAAACTACTCAAGACATAAATTAGGAAAACAAATTAAAATACAGAAACAATTTAACTCGAATGAAAAAAAAGGTAGCTTAGAAACCAACAGTATAAATAAATTTAATTACCTGAAGGAAGGAGAAAGCGAGAGGATAATTTAGCTTGAAGAAGATGGCTGTGGAGGAGGAGTAGAATAGCTATCAGTAATGGCAGTCTCATCCTTGTTTCGCGGTATTACAGCAATAATTTTTGACAGAATTTTAATTTTCTAAGCTCTTAATACTGAAGTAAAGAATAAATATTAGTATAGTTTTCTCAACTTTCCTTTTCTTTTTCAGCTTTTATAGGGTATACTTCACAGTAAAGAAACTCAAATGCTTGCTTATTATCGTGAGTTTCCTTTTGTATGATTTTTGTTGGTCTCTTCATGGTTTGAAGGAGACAAATAGCGAACTTCTTAATTTGGTTCACATGACGTGCGTGTTCTGTTTCTACAAATGGCGATGGCAAAATACATATTTTATCCGTCGATTTTGTCTCCAAATTCTTCTTACACACATGTTAAATACGGTTATAATATAACACATCAAAACTTTTAAAAGTGTCTATTACACACCACTACGATTTTTTGATCACATCTGCTTAAAGATTGTTATTACACGCGCCAATCAACATACGACACATGTCATAAATCGAGAAAAAAAAAACAAAAAAATACCAAATTTTGAATTTGTTAATGGTGTTTTTTGAATTTTATCAAAATTAATCACCAAATTTTCAACATGTTTTAAGCAAATTTTAACTCAACAGTAATCACGATTCAAACTAATTTTCTAGGTCATGGAACACCCAAGACCCGATTAAATTTTCAAGCATTTCCAAAAGGTCAATTGTGACGATTTTACAATACCCAATAGCTCTTATGTTCTTTTTCTTATTCTTTTTCTTCTTAGTCATGAGGATTCAGGAGACAAAACACGAAGGGTAGACAAAATTAGGATGGGCGTTGGGGTTGGGGAAGAAGACATGGGTTATGTTTTTTTCTTAATTTGAAAAGGAAAAAGTTAAAAAAGGGCGAAAATAAAGAAAAAATTTAATTTCATGTGAATGTTTTAGCTTTCACGCACCTCAATTATGTGTAATACACGTGTGTGACACATGGCAAAAGATGTGTGTAATAGATACACTATTAAAAGTTTTGGTGTGCGATATTATTCCCGTATTTAACAAGTGTGTAAGAGGGATTTTGGGACAAGGTAAATGAGGAAAGTATGTATTTTGCTATTAGCGAACTTCTTAGTTATTTTTTTAAAATCATGGTGTTTGGACTTGTGCGTTACTGTCTGTGGGGTCCATCCCCATAAATGAAATAAAAGAAAAAGAAAACAAAATAAAGAAGGAAATACCAAATCTAGATTTGGATCAAAAGCAAATCGACAAGTAGGCAACAACAATTTGCAATCAATCTATTTGATTAGTTGGAGTGGGCGGTCACTCTTCCTATAAAAGGAAGGCTTTCAGCTTCTCATTTAACACACCAATCTCAAAGAGAAATATATTTGAGAGCATAAAGAGCAGTGTGAGGTATTTACATGCGGTATAGTCTATGAGGGAAAATAGAGAGTGTGAGTGATATTGTAGTAAGGTGGGAATCTCAAAAGAGGGTTATTTCTTTTGAGTGTGTAGTGGTCCCTAGAGTACTTTACTCGGGACTACGAAGTGTAAAATTTTTCATCATAGTAGATTATTTTTCTCCTCTCAGGCTCATAATTTTTTTCCTTATTTAGAAGAGTTTTCCACGTTAAAATCTTTGTGTTCTTGTTGTTCTTTTTGTTGATTACCGTATCTCGATACTACGTTATTATTTCACTGTTATTACCGTGAATATTATTTCTGTATAAAGACCCGTCCAGTCATTTTGATAGTTGTAGTCCCGTTCCCCCATTTACTGCTCAATTTATACTTTACAGTTGTTATGTGACTTTCCAGAGTAATTGGTTCGGGTCCGGTGAGGTTTTGAAATGAATTGTGACACTTAGTCTCCAAAATAAAAATTTAAGTTGAAAAGGTTGACCGGATGTCGGCTTATGTATAAACGACCACGGGTTTTGATGATTCCAATAGATCCGTATGGTAATTTTGGACTTAGGAGCGTGTCCGAAAAATTATTTGGAAGTCTGCAGCTAAATTAGACTTGAAATGGCTAAAATAGAAATTTAAGTTTGAAAGTTTGATCGGGGAGTTGACTTTTTGATATCGGAGTCGGAATCCAATTCTGAAAATTTTCATAGCTCCATTATGTCATTTATGACTTGTGTGCAAAATTTGAGGTCAATCGGAATTGAATTGATAGGTTTCGGCATCAAATGTAGAAGTTGGAATTCATTAGCTTCGTTAAGCTTGAATTGGGGTGTGATTTTAGCGTTGCTTGATGTGAATTGGTGGATTAAGTTGGAAAAATAATGAAAATCCCAAGTTTAGATTGAAGATTTGAGGGTCGAGTTGATGTCGGAATTTAGTGATTTTGGTATGGTTGGACTCATGGTTGAATGAACATTCATATTTTATAACTTTTGTCGGGTTCTGAGACGTGGATCCCACAGGCAATTTTTGAGTTAAATTTTGAATTTTGTTAAAAAATTAGTATTTTTTCATATGGAATCAATTTCAATAATTTGTATTGATTGAATCAAATTTATTATGATTAGATACAAGGCTTTCGGATGCCAATTCACGAGGCAAAGGCATAACAGAGTAAAGAATTATACGGTTCGAGGTAAGTGACTTGTCTAACCTTGTGTGTGGGAAATTTCCCTTAGGATTAGTATTGATGTGATAATTGTGATGTGTTGAAAGTCGTATACGCGAAGTGACGAGTGTGTACACGGATTAAATATTGAAGGTTATATCTTTAAATTGTGTAGATCACTATTGCATACTAATTAAATTAATTTATCCTGTTATATTCATCATCATTGATCTATTTTTATATATTTTTGAAATTTTTCTGACCTTTTCTTGCTAATTACCTTACTTTTGTGATATATTGTGATATTGATACGCATGCGGTGGTATACGGACTGGGTATTGAAACACATGCGGTGAAATAAGGGTGGCTTGATATGCGTGGCTAGTAGAAAAACTACTAGAAGTCATGCGGTGTGATAAGGGTGGCTAAAACACATATGTTATTTCGAGAAAAATATTTTCTTTAAAATTAAATGTGAAGGCTCCTGCTGTGATATAAAGAAATGAGATATTGTGAATTTATTTATGATTTAGGACTACGAGGCGGTACCTCGGGAGTGCCCTTGTTGATATTTCTTTATGGTTGTATTTACCTTTGGTTATTTTGTATTTTTCTTAAAGTTGTAAATTTCTGTTTTCCTTCCGAGAGGTGTTAATTGCCCTTGTTATGTGTAGTTAAATTATGACATACTATTTGATTCATTCCCATTGTCATTATTATTATTATTATTATTATATTATTAAACTTTTTACCCTGTCTTTTTATTATTTTCAGTAAGACTTGACCTGACCTCGTCACTACTCTACCGAGGTTTGGCTTGACACTTACTGGGTATCGCTATGGTGTACTCATACTACACTTTTGTACATTTTTTGTGCAGATCCAGGTACTTCCTATCAGACCAGGTATCAGTGAACTAGCTGCACGCGGAGACTTCAAGGTATATCTGTCAGCGTCCGTAGACCTTGGAGTCCCCTTCTATCCTTATTGTGTTGATTTCCTTATTCTCTTTAGACTCTGATGTATAGAGACAATTAGAATAAATTCTTAGAAGCTTGTGACTTATTTCTACCGGGTTTTGGGAGTTGTGATTATTTATGTTGTCGTTCTTATTTATTTCAGTTGTTAAGAATTGAGTTTCATATTTATATTCAGTTATTCCGCATAATTGATAGGCTTACCTAGTCTTAGAGATTAGCTGTCATCACGATATCCTACAGAGGGAATTTGGGATCGTGACAACGCCCTACATATGGGTGAAGGTACAATTTTTTTTTGTCACATTTAAATGTATTTAATGGATTAATCACGCAGCTTGCCAACCTCATTATAAAGATCGAGGAAGAGGATAAAGTCATCTTGCTCTTGAACTCATTGCCATCTTCATACGATAATGTGGCAATAACCATCCTGCACGGCAAAGCCACTATTGATTTGAAGGACGTCACATCGACTCTTCTACTCAATGAGAAGATGAGAAAGATGCCTGAAAATCAAGGACATGCTTTCGTCACAGAAGGTAGAGGCAGGAATTACCAAAGGAGTTCAAGCAACTATGGTAGATCCGGAGGTCATGGGAAGTCCAAGAACCGATCCAAATCAAAAGTCGAAAATTGCTACAATTGCGATCAACCTGGTCACTTCAAAAGAGATTTCCCAAATCTAAGAAAGGGCAAAGGTGAAAATAGTGGTCAGAATAATGACGACAACACAACCGCCATGATGCAAAATAATGATAATGTTGTCCTCTTTATAAATGATAAAGAAGAATGCATGCACTTGGCAGGTCCAGAGTCGGAATGGGTGATTGATACATCAACATCTTACCATGCCACACCGGTAAGAGAAAGTTTTTGCAGACATATAGCAGGTGATTTTTGCACTGTGAGAATGGGTAACACGAGTTACTCAAAGATTGCGGGGATTAGTGATATTTGTATCAAGACAAATATCGAATGCACATTGGTTCTAAAGGACATGCAACATATACCTGATTTACGGATGAACTTGATCTCGGAAATCACTTTAGACCGAGATGGACACGAGAACTATTTTGCAAATCAAAAGTGGAAACTCACCAAGGGATCATTGGTGATTTTAAAGGGAGTTGCTCGTGGTACGTTGTACATGACAAATGCAGAAACATGCCGAGGTGAATTGAACGTGGCACAAGATGAGATTTTTGCATATTTGTGGCACAAAAGAATGGGTCATATGAGCGAGAAGGGATTGAAAATTCTTGCTAGAAAATCACTTATCTCTTATGCCAAAGGTACAACGGTAAAACCTTATGACTACTGTTTATTTGGTAAGTAGCATAAAGTCTCATTTCAAACATCGTCTCAAAAAAATTAAATATACTTGATTTGGTATATTCTGATATTTGTGGTCCAATGGAAATTGAATCAATGGGCGGTAACAAATATTTTGTTACTTTTATTGATGATGCTTCAAAAAAATTATGGGTTTATATTTTGAAAACCAAAGATCAGGTGTTTCAAGTTTTTCAGAAGTTTCATGCTCTAGTGGAAAGTGAGACATGCCAAAAGTTAAAACGCCTCTGAATTGACAATGGGGGTGAGTACACTTTAAGGGAATTTGAATACTACTGTTCAAGTCATGG